TGGATGCATAATAATATATTGTTGTTATGACGAGAAAAAGATTTTTACCATTTGAGTTTATATGAAAGTGCATTATTTATTTAGTATTATACTGATGTAAAGAAGTAGTTTAGAGACATTATAGATTTTTTTCTAGAAAATTCTTCTTAAATAAAATCTATAAGTCGCGTTAATTAGATAGGTACGTTTAGAAATAAAAATATATTACGAATGTACTTTATTTTATACTTTGTGAATAGGTGCCGCTATACTTGTATATATATACGAGTATGACATTTTATATAAATTTTTATTTCTTTATAATAAAATATAAAGAATCTATCATCTGTTCAAAAAACCCAAATATGACCTAATTGAAGTCTTTGAATCTTTTCTGAAATAATAATTTCATAATTAACAATGCACAATCGCAAAGATATACAGACAAGAATTCCAACAATCTTATTAAAGATTCTGTTATGTTTTCCATTATATTACATACACATGTGTATAACATCGAATATTTTATTACATGTATATATATGGAATGTTAATCATCATTACATAGTATAACAAACACACTTGAGCGAAGCCGGGGCGAGTAGTCAATACCAGTATATAACACAAACTGAATGGTATTATGTAAATATGTTTGTTGACGATTGTTGCGATCTACTGTATGAAGAGTCGTGACTCATTAAAAGAGAAATTCAAAGAGAGGCAAATAAAAAAAAAAGACTCATTAAGAGAGGCAAATATTCTCACCGTTGCTTCTCAATTTATATATTCAAATATCCTATATGTTCATAAAAATCTTGACTTATTTCCAAAAAACAGCGATATTCATAATATTAATACTAGATTTAAAGACAAACTTGCTGTCCCCAAGTATCGTTTAGAAAAAGTTAATAGGTCTTTAATGGGAATAGGTATAAAAATTTACAATAAGATACCAAAGGATATGTTGGAATTACCCTTAAATAAATTCAAAATATCTGTTAAATCATATTTACTGAGCAAGGCCTATTACTCACTAAAGGATTACTTGAATGACGAGTGTGCATCGCAATAGTTGTTCATGCACTCAATTTTCATTTAATGTTAGACATAGACCTATATAAAAATACATTGTAAATGAACTGGCTTTAAAAAAAAAGTAATTCAATTGAGTTTCTTGCCAGTTCTTCTCAATTGGATCTATATACCGAACTGGACGGTAGGGAAAAAATAAAATTATAATGTAAAAATTTGACGTTCATAAGCGGCTAAACGGTCCTACATGAATAAATGATTTTAGAAATTTTGATTTTTGACAAAAATGTGCTACTGAAATTAGGTGGCGTCTAATTTCAGTAATACTGAATGTATATACAGTGTTTCCTTGAATATTGAGCGATAGTAATTGTTACGCGACGGGCATTATAATGCGGATGCGTACTATCCGTGTACGCACGCAATGTGTACCAAACTATGTACGCAAACTATCTTTCAGGCAAATTAAATTGTAAACTCATTCACTTGTAATTTCAATAACATTATCCCTGCTTAATGCGAGTGTCTAGGTGTAGTCTAGGTGGCACTAAAAAACTACACAGATTTTTAGTACCATCTAGTCCCGCACTAGTCAGTTATAGATACTGAACAACAGATAGAAATAATTAAGTATAAGGCATTATGATATATAACAATTAATAAAATATTTTTTACCTACAGAATTATAATATTGGGCCTGTACCTAAAATCCTATGTCCTATTAGAGCGTCGCAAAATAATAGTAACAACTTAACCATACTCTGTATGAGATTTTATTGTAATAAAAAAAAACATTTAGTGTTATCGCTGACGTGACGTGATAACGTATTTTTTTTTCATCAGGTAGTAAAAAAATACGCTATAAATATGCTATTAACCGCAACTTTACAGTTCTATGCTCGTTAGGGGGCGAGATGGCAATCCAAACTCTCAGAAGGACTTATAGAGCGGCAGAAGACCAACTCCCGCCTGACGGTTACGACTTTAGTCTGGTTCGAACCTCGGCTCAGGCCGTCGTAATTTCGATTCTCGTTTGAATTGGACGGGATATCGATCAGAAGGGATGATGACGTTATGTGTGTTGTTCTTTTCGTGTATAGATGCTATAGTTAATACCATTATCGAATGCAGAATCACCTTCTTACGACACGTCATTAGTGCTATTATATAAACTAAAGCATTCCTTTATAAATGAGGTAAATAACAATAGAAGAATTTTTAAAATTGGATTAGTGATTCTGAGTATTTCAACATCCAAACTCATAAACTACCTACCCACATTTCTATCTACATATACTCTCACATTACTTAAGTGACTAATAAAATATTATATCTTAGCGATAATGCTAATGGAAAAGTGATAAATATGTTAATAAAGTTAGTGAAGTAGGGCTATCATGAATTAACGGTGTACTATCTTGGTTATAGATAACGTTACCAGACGTATCCCTTTAAACGGGACTGTCCCCTTTTATAATTCCGAGTCCCGGTGTTCCTCAAATGAAATCTGGAACGTAAAATTGTCCCGTTTTGGAAAATCCTCGAAAATTTGTGTGGTCGAGCAGGCCCGTTTGTGATGTTGATTATCGTTGAAAATTAAAGTAAATATAAAAAAAGAATGCTGTTAGCCACAGCTGGCCTTTACAGCTTCACCGGATGATTGGGGGCGAGTTCAGATGGCACTCCAAACCCGAGGAAAGACGCGGAATATGGAGCGGCTGAAGGCCAACTCCCGCCTGACGGATACAATTTAGTCTGAGGGCACCGCTAGGGGTTCGAACCTCGACTCAGGTACTATCGATAGGACTCATCGTAATATCGATGGGTATCGTAATAAGATGGATGGGGGATCGATCGGAGGGGGTAATATTATGTGCCAGGACTTTTAGTCTTACTTAAAAGCTTCACTACCTGTATTAAAGCAAATTTGTTTATCCGATAAAAGGTAGAAGGTAGTAGGTAGGTAGGTAGGTAATAATCAACTTTTAAGCTAACTTTTTCTGAATAAAGCTTTAAGAAATAGTTTTTTAAATGACTGTCTATTAATTGACATAAATAACCAATGTCCCGTTTTGAGTCAAAGAATAAATGGTCACGTTAGTTATAGATGTGAATTCGAATCTGGCGAGATTGACATGAAACATTTATGTGTCAATTTATATTTTAGTCAGAACAAATCAGATACTGCAACCACTTTGGATTTCGATATTTCGAGTGAAATGTAGAAGTATTGCGTTCATGTACCAGAACTTTGGGTACATGGGCAGAACACTTTACTGCCTTACTTGATATAAACTTGTATTCATGAATATATTTCTGTTTATACGGCCTCGGTGGTTCGACTACTTGCTCAATATATATTCATGAATAAGATTATCTGTTTCCTATATATATTATGTATGGATTTACAAAAAGATTGTATTGCTAACAGTTGTACCTATAAAACAAGCCCTGCTTATGTTGGGATCAGTTGGCGTTGTAAGAATTGCCCAGGGTAATTAATACTATATGTACTACTTATGATTTAACAAAAAAGCACGCAGTTTGTGTGTGTTTTTGTAAATATAATATATAGTATTTCTGTAAAACTTAGATAAACACTAACATTTGTACTTACAAATATAATTTATATCTTCTTTTCATGTTTCTTTTCATTTATATGTCCTTCTAACCATGAGTGTGTGATCCATGTGTGAGGTAACATGTAAACAGCTAAGACATAAATATCGTCGGTAAGAGAATATATATGACTAAACAAACAAACTATACGTCTGTCTGGCATTACATATCTAGTACAATATATAATAACTTTCCTGTCCTTAATAATGATTGATTGTTGATATGTCATATACTCGTAGATTAACTTCATTGTTATGGTACACGGAAAATGTGTATTGGCATTGGTTATTTATTGCTAAGAAACGACTTTTATTAAAGTAGTAACTCATTTTAGTTTCTCTATTCATTATAATCATTGCAGGCCTGTTTTCCATTATTTTAACTTATTTAATGTTTATATATTTAGTTCAATTGTTGACCTAATCATTTTTGAGTCTTAAGTTCGTGTCTAAAAATAATAATAATTGTCTATATGGTATGTTTGTGGTATTTTCTGGAAGGTTTTCATATCGCATAGGTTTGGAAATATGTATAGAAATACACCGAATCGACTCTCAATTTCTATTGAAAGTCGTCGTGGTACCTGACAATAAGTTTCGATTGGGTCGATAGTCGCGATATATAAATGAATATTCCGATCTAAACTAAAACATATATAAGTACAATTTATGCTATTGCAGGTCTAGCAATTTAGCACGCCGCTTTACTTCTAATGTTCGCGGGTTCCATTTCTCGGTTTGAAGATTTGGAGTTCTGAGTATTTTCTACATATGTATATTATTTTTGTGGATGATAATGGAATGATTCACTCGCTAACGGTTTACGCTGGCGAGACCCCAGTAGAGGATAATAAGATGACCATGGGGTCAGGTCAGTTAGCCCATCGTGAAAAATTCACCAAGAATTTACAACGATGGTTTCCTGGGTCAACCGCGTGGAGGTCAACCTGACATGGTACGTTCATAGCAACAACTTAAATATGTCACTTTTCTTGTCTCATATAAAATTAAATTAATTAAACGTTTGCTTTGTTATTTTATTTAAATATATATAAATATAATCCAGATCAAGCCCATATGCATATTCAGTAGGTCTGAGAATCGGCTACTATCTATTTTTCATACCCTTAAGTAGTAAGGGATATCCACCCCTAAATATATTTTATTTTCATTTTATTATTATTTAGGATTGAAAAATTCATACAATCCTAAATTTTTACCCTTCTAGCATCAAACCATATTTTTAATATTTTATAAAATTTTAATAGCGATTTTAATTTATATGTCAAAACTACGTTTGCCGGGATAGCTAGTATAAGTATACATTTCGATTGTTGTACATTTATAATCTTGTTAGTTTCCAGCATTACCATGTATCTTGGTAGATCAGTGAGAACATAAATGTTGATATCTATTCTACAAACGTAATTTGCGATATTAAAAATCAACAAATAAATAAAAGGAGATTGAAAGAATCGCTTTTAATAAATGATACTAGTATTTGCCTATATATAACCGTCGATTGAATATACATATATAGAACACAGTTGTGGGTTTTACAGAATTTGTTTATTAATTGTTTTATTTTCTTTACATAAGAAAACAGATATAGTTTACTAATGTAAGTAAAGAATTATACAGATATTAATTATATTGTAGTAATTTGATTTGAGTGTTTGTGTATGTATGTATGTGTTCGTGGATGTGGTAGGTGGTAGGTTCGATGCGATTAATTTTATAATGCGTAGAATAAATTTATATAGTATTTTTGTTAATACACAAATATTTTGTGTATGATCCAAATAATATGACTTGGCGAAAAATTGATTTTTTTTTTACGTATTGTGATGTAAACTACCGATGTATCCGCTTTTTAAGGAACCCTAAAATTCCCACTTTTAAAAAGTACATTATGAAGCGTGTTCTGCTTGTCTTAAAACAGAACTTATGGACTTATATTAAGGTGCAAAATGAATGTATTATTCGCATGTGCTAAATGCACACTTGCGCCCGTGCAGAGCTCTTTCAGGCGTGAAAATGAATGTTATAAATAATCAAGCGCACTAGGAATAATTATCATACGACGCTAAAGGCCAGTGCAGTTTTGACTAGTGCAGTATTGAAAAAAAATCCTTTTGTCTCTCAGTCGGCAGCAGCTGTTGTCAATGGATTGGTTGAGATTGGTCGGTATATTTTCTGGTGTATGTGGACAGTGATATTGTGATATAAACAACTGTGATCAATATGTCGTGGAATACATGAGTGTTACAAAATAAATATATATTTACAATACATGTTCATGGATTATACAGATAGGTGTGAGTTATAATGCGATGAAATTTTACATTATTAGTTAAACTGCTTACCGAAAAAGAGCAATAGAATATATCAATATTTTATTATCTTTTTATACTTAGAATAGAATACAATTTATTGACTCGTACACAACAATAATAATATAAAAAAACGAACAACAATTTCCACACTACAATATAGAGTTAATTTGGACCACAACTCAGCATAATGCTGGAAACATTGATACCAGCGCTGATTTTTATTTACAGTACGGAATTAAACAATATTATTTCTATCATTCTTTAATTTATCCTGTAGTAGTAATTTATAATAATATGATATAAAATATATTTAAAAAGTATTAAGTCATCATCTGCTTCATCCTTATCCCATTTATTTGGGGTCGGCGTAATATGTTTTTCGTTTCCATTCATCCCTGTTCGCAGTCATCGCGTTATTTTATTAAGTAGTGATGAATAAATAATTTCATAATTTATATCGATTTTTTTTGTTATTACGAATCCTGGTAAAAAGGAGTAAATAAATTCTATCCGATTAATGAATGAAGAATAATTTCCTAAATACATAAATGTATTAGGTCATATTTTATCTCTTTAAAAATTACTGTTAACAGCGTAACGTAATAATTTATTTATTACTACGTCACTGCAAAGGAAATTGCAAACGTATTTCGAAATTTAGTTCCTAAGGCGGTTAGAAACAGATAAAGAAATATGGTTTCAGTTTCGACTTTGATTTCAGTCGAGTATTCATTTACGTTATCAATCATTATTTTAGATCATAAAACCAGCTTAATCTAATTCGCCGCTCCGATAATTAATACTTAAGACACTTTTTGACACAAATAAGATATTTTTGAGAAAATGTTAGTGACACAAGGTTTATACCAATACTAGAATCACGTCAACATCTATATCTTATCTCTAACTGCAGTTTTTCATAGTATTTAAGCAAAGCTCATTACATCCCACTCTAGGATTTTTAAACTCACATAGCTCAACGCGAAACTGACGTCATAGATACTAGCAGATAGACGTACATTTTTCGTAAAAACATAATATAAATAAATAATATCAGAATAAAAAACATACAAACGGACGGATTCAGAAATACAAATGTTTTAATTGTTCAGGTATCAAACCAGCAATCATTAGTGAATATGGTAATGTATAAAACTGCTAGACCTCCGGGATATATAATTAATACTTTTGTTTAAATGTCTTATCTATTTAATGATGATATTATTTTGCTTATGTTATAACTTTGCTGCCGGATAGAGAGTTTATGTACTAAAAGTACAGGTTCCATACACTGTAATTTAACTGCCTTGCTTCCTTAAGCATGACGCCGTAGTCCTTAGAAATGACAACATGAGGATACAAAATAAAAATTCCATGATAATTTATATGTAACGATAAACTGAAAGCAAAAGAGTAGTATTCCATTTACGTAAAAAATAACACTTTATTAAAAAAACATATGTATTGTTACGTATTATAACGATATACTGAATGCAAAAGAGTAGTATTCCATTTACGTAAAAAATAACACTTTATTAAAAAAAATATGTATTGTTACGTATTATAACGATATACTGAATGCAAAAGAGTAGTATTCCATTTACGTAAAAAATAACACTTTATTAAAAAAACATCTGTATTGTTACAGTTCGCTCTTCTGATAGCTGTTGCTTCAGTTACGGCAGACGGATCCAAGTAAGTTATTCAATGGCATTTTCTTACTATTCTCGTGCTCGTAATTTAATATTAACAGAAATCATAGAAAAGGAATCACTTACTGAGTGTTCTTTGTGCACCTCTTTAGTAGTGTTTTATAAATGTACTCAACAAAAGACAAAAGCAATATCTATCATTTATGTATGAAAATATATTGTGGATTAATGAGACCTGATTACGTGATACAATTGTTAGGAACTTCATTCTTGTAAAACGTTTAAATTGTGTCTACGAATACTATTTGACAGTTATAGTCACAATACAAATGAACAGAATAGTCACTGTCAAATGTAACCCGAAAACTGTCGCTTCAATTAAGATTTAGTAATTGCATTACGTAATTAGTCTCTGTTTTTTCCAAAAAAGTTACAGACGTAAATAATGTTAATTCTTTTGATATATATTTTTGGTTAGGTACAATAATAAATTATTATATATATATATGCGGAATATTTTCTTGCGAAAATATAATTCACAATCATCACCAAAAGAGAGTCTGTCTATTACTGTCAAATAATTTTTGGCGGTAAAAACCGTCATAAGTTTAGTTATTAGTCTATTAAAATCTGTTGAAAATAAACCCTTATTTGAGTAAGGAAAGTATTAAATTATCATAAATTGTATTTTTATTTGAATTTTGAAGTAAAAATATAGAATAGAAATGAAATATGATTTATCTATGTTATTCCTAAATTGTACTAAATATAGTAAAACTTTACAATAATATCAACGATGCATTAGCTTCGTAAACTGATAAAAACTTGTAGCTTTGAACCGTATTATAGTAACAAGTATATTGTATATACTCTAAACAAAACATAAATAAATAATTTCATTTTAAAAGAAATTGAAATTAATTGAAAAATATATACCATATCAATAACACAGATTAATACAATTTTATTTGTATCAACCATTTTAATTGTATTGTCAATTTGCCTTGAATTATGCGAAAGTATATTATAAAATGAGCTATGCGATGGAACTTGTTAATGTCAGTGTGCCGACAAATGCGATTTAATTTGTATGTTTCTCCTTAAGTAGTAATTTTATGAACATTGATCCTATAGCCAACCAGGCGCACAACGAACGCCTACAGCCTAGAAAGTGCCAATTAAGTCTCAATGCGATACATTATAAAAAAAAATAATGACATTATACTAGACCTGTTCATATATCAAGTGTAACGGACGCTGTATATATGTACATAAATACGGGTACGGCAACGTCGAAACGTCGTCAAGAGGGAAAGCCACTACCGCATCACGCGCCAAGCCAATGACATTAGACGGAACCGCGTCGTAGCATAAAAACGTGGCCATCGATCAAGCATGCGATCCATTACTGCACGACAACATACCAGCACTCTAATTTTCTTTTGTTGCAGGAAAAAGATCCGCATCCACCTTCCACAAAAAGTGAAGCACATACATCATCATAAAAAGATCTATATCACTAATCACCCTGCAGCCTCACAGTATGCCCCGGCCTACTTGCCTAGTGCTGAAGGTGCAGTGGCAGTACCAACGAACGTCGCGCTTCCGGCTGTTGCAAATATTGTGCCTCTCAATTCTGTAGAATTATACGATGATCAGTCACGTTTGCCGGGATTAAAACCAGCGGCGTCTAAAGTATTGCCGCTATACCGTGCAAGAGGTTATTACGGACCGACGCCAAATGAGTGGGAGGAACAGGAATATGACTCGGGCTTGACACCAGAAAATACAGATAATTCGTACGCACCTGCAGTTCATTCGCCACCCCCAGTCATACAACCTGCCCCTAATCATATTCCAAAAAGAGTAAAGGTCATAAAATTGAACGAACAACCAAGAAAGAAAGTTCTTAAAAAACCTAAACAAAAACGTCCCCCAATAAGAAATCAGCCCCCACCAGACGACGAACTTCCAGTATCGAATTTTCATGAACAATTTTATTCAGACTTAGATGGATCGGGGACTATAAGAAAAATAAAAAAGCCACAGCGAGTTGAAAAAATAATCGATGGAGATACCGAACACATTCATACATACAGCGAAGAACATATCCATAAATTAGTCTTTGATGATGCAGCTAAGACATCTGATGTAGCTGGTGTTGATCAGTTAGGCAGTATGTCCGCAGTTAGTTCGAATCATCCGCTTTTCCAATCTATTAAAAATGGGCAATTAATAGCAATCCCTTCAGAACCACTGACAGGTTTTACAGCAATTGGATCTTTAGGGACACCGTCACATCTGGAATATGCCGCGTATAATCCAAGAGATGTAACTCATGATCATATTTTCCATGACCATGGAGAAATTCCACCTGAAGTAGATCTTACAAAGGATAATATCGGATTTCCTCCTAGGGCTTCCTATACTAGCCAGGGTGTGAAAATTAATGGTCACAAAAGATATAAAAATAAACATTTCAATAAATATCCGAAAGCTACAAAATCGACACCAGGCAATGACTTATCTTATTATGAAAGTATATATACACCGTACCATAGATACAAAGCACCACAAAAGCCACATATTCCACAATATGACTCGCCAAGAGAACCGATAGAAGATTATAGACCAATACCATCGTTTAAATTCTTCAATAAAAATTCCAACAAGTTACGTAGTACCTACGGTAATAACGCACAACAAACCAATATTCCAGCGCCATATGCGGTATCTTCCACTATTGTGCATGATTATCAACCAAAATCTTATCCAGGAGCTCTACCTCCTAATGGCTTTTCAAAGTATAAAGATCCATTTGTAAATTTTAAGGACAGCTATTCAAATAACTATGAATACGATACTTATGCTTCGTCATCAAACGTGTTCACATCAGAAGATAAGAACGATAATTCGTTAGTGGCTGTCCAGAATTTAAAAGGCAAAAAGTCAATATCAACTCAAAATATCAGCTTTGGAGGACAAGAACCGAAAACTATGGTTGTCGATCATTTAGAAGAAGGTAATATTGTATCGGAATTTCACGACGATGCACCGTCTGCATTTGACAATTTAGGCAGTGATGATCACACGGATAATACGCAAGGATCGGATGCCATCAGTCCTACAGCTTATACTATTAGAGAATCTTCTCCCGCACATCCATACTACACAGCAATGGCAATAAAAGCGCTACATGCTGGTCAAGCACCGGAGCCTGAGGCATCGAACGATAACTACCAATACGCAGAAGCACCTAGCCAATCAACTACACCATACACAACGTCTGTAGCGACTACCACCAGCGCTCCATCGGCTTACTTTGAAAATCAAAGTACGAGTACAGTCACAACCGAACTACCGACGCTTATATCAGAAAACGAACATCCTCACAGGCATAAAAAGAATATGTCAAATAAAAAATCTCGCCAAAAATACATAGTGATTAATGAATTAGATAAAATGAATCAATTCAACAATGGAGACAGTCAACCACAGACTCGTAAATTACTTCATCATACTCACCAATTACCAGAAGATTCCGGTCTGAGAGGGAAGTTTAAATATGGTGACAAACTATGAAGTTAGTTATAAAAATAATTTGTATATAGTTGTGAGTTTAGGTAGTTCCGCGTTTGTTACTCTTTGCCGCAAGTGTGATGATATAAATCTATGTTTTGAGAACATTATTTAAAGCGTGTTGTGGTTATAATAAATCTAACTCGATCATAGCTATAGATAGAACAAGACGACAATGGTATTCATGCATTTTATACGAATCCCTAGACAAAGTGTTGAAAAATAAACAAAACAAAATAAATAGAGCTGGGAGTACTTTATTTCAAACTTAAACATATCAAATCGAGGGCTATACAAATACAATCTAATATTTATACCTTTCTGAGAAATTAAATTTAGTATTGAGAAAAATTATTCTAGAAATTAGTTTAACGCCTTGTCAATTTCTTACAGCAACAAATTATCTCGATATAGTGACTTGTAAGAAACAATTTAGGCGTTGCTTACATTGAAATAAGTTTTAATGCTATTAATAAGAGTATTATAAACAGAACGATCTACTGTAAAAAGTTATCTTCGCGGTTTCAGTCTCACGTATTTCAGCTAATAAGCTTACTTTGTAAGTTGTGTTTTGGTTGTTGGGTTAGATTAGGCAGTGAAATTAAAGGATAAGAACATTCTAGTCCTCCAGAATAGTAACCGATGAGACGTATCACAGGTGTCACATGATAACGGGGTGTCCGTATTGCTGTTTATGTATATAGGCGACGGTTATCGTACACCATCAGGTGAAGAAGAGGTCAATTTTTTTGTAAGTATTATACTAAAATTGATGAAGAAGATAGCGTTACATTTCACGGTAAGTTATAGTTACTGGCTACTACTATTGTTCTCATAAATATTACTATATACATTATGGACTATCTATATAGTACGCAATTTTTCCTCGTATGAATATATACGATAAACTTATCATTATATTTCTCAGAATGTCAATATACTACCATCAGAAAGCTAAGTTATATCCAATATTATGTTCTATAACAATGATAAAATTGATCTCATAAATTCCCTGTGGTCAATTGATGAAATGTCTTTATAAAAATACATTAACAATATGTATAATGAATAAAAACTACAAGGTAATTTTTATAGATGTGAATCTAGCATAGTAGCATAGCATATAGCTATAGCGTAAACCAAGTATTTAATAGGTACTATTACTTTATTTTTATCAGTTGACCTAGTGTGGCTAGTTTTGTGTTGTTTGGAGCTAGATGGCGTTGTGTGAATTGTCTGGGTTATTATACTGCACGGTCACCGTAAAGTTTACTATTTTTAATGGTGCGGAATAGTTAAATTACGTACATCTATAACAATAATTTCATAATAGTTCTAATTCCAATGCAAATTAGACTATTCTTTATTATAATTATACAATTAAAGACGCTTTTTACTAATTTTTATATTTCACAGTTTATAAATAGTTATGCCAACAATATCTTGGGGAGCCTGACAGAACATCTAAAACCATACCATTATAATTTTGCATTAAAGGAATATTTTTTTCGCAACGTTATATACTCGTTAAAAACTATGTCCATAATTCAGTCATACCTTTGCCTACTTGAAAACGAATACAAATAAAGAAATAATTTTAAAATTTATTTTTTATTGAAATATTAAGTGTATTTTCATACTGAAATTGTTATTTTGTTATTGTTGGCGCTGTTTGGCATTATATTATTCGTATCCCTTTTCAAAAATTGTCAAGTATCATTAGAAATATATAGTTATGATTTTTTATGCAACGCAGACAATGTAAAATGAAAAGAAAATGCAATTACTTACTCAATATTTGCCCACTAAAAATCCACCAGAAACGACATTGAAACCAATAAAGGGATCAAATCCACTAGATTTGGTGGTGAAAATTCTACGTTGGCAACACAATTTAGAACGTAATTTCACTACAAAACATGCGTGCTTTACCTGGAGAAGGGCACATTGCCGCGCTTTACGTAACTTAGGTACGTGTAAAATCCTTTGGTCCGGCCATTGTCGTGAACTGTCGTAATTGTACTTTATGTAACTTTATCACTCCAATCAGATGATTCTGTAATCGCAATAGAATGTAAATAGGTACTCGTATCTTTTTCTGTAGGTAATATTAAAACCCTATGACACTCGTTTTCTGTATATGTATATGACAACTAGCATACCCGCAGAGTCACCTTTCCCAAGTTTTTGGTAGATTTTTCATTACGGCTCCTCTTCTGTTGGTCGTAGCATAATGTCATATTATTATATTATATCTATAAGTCTTCCTCGATAAATGGCTAGCTAATACTAATAAAAATTTTAATATCGGTTCAATACATCCAGAGTAACGACATATGACCTCACAAACTTACAAAATTTACCTCTTTATAATATTAATGTAGATGTGTAATTCAGTTATTCTATAGTAAAAGATGTTTAGGTATTTCATTTATAACTAGACCTACTATACTCGACTGTACAATTTAAAAATTACTCCAAAAGGAATTATTTTAGATCATCTATTCTCGAGCTCAACTATTTTATTATAGAAAACTACTTTCATCTGATAAAACTGTTATATGTAGGCACTAGAAATATTAGCAAACAATCAGAGAAAATAATTAATCAAATAAAATCTTATCGTATAGATTGGAACATTTGCTTCTAAGCTTCAATTAATATAACCAACAGTTCCAGAGAGATCTCAGAATGTGATTTCAGAATGAAATACATATATTGTCAACCTAGTTGTATATACGATAGACCAGGTAGTTACGTCATGTCGCTTGTCGTGAACAATCTATCCACGTATTAATTAAGTAGAAAAAGTGCTTGTAAAGGTAGGGGACTATTAACCCCTTGGTAACTATGTATTCTATCAACTTGCCGGTTGTCCCCTTAAAAACTATAATATTAAGTCACCAATTTGGATTAACAATCTAACCTTGTCCTATATCTACCTTCAACCATACCTTGTATACAAATAGTGCAGACAAAAATATAATTCTATAATCCTCCAGAAACACTGGTCATTTAAAAAAAATAGGCCAAAAGGATGTCGCGAACAAGGAAACGGCAGATAATACTATAAAAAAAACTCTGGTCCTTTATTCCATGAACATTACATAATGCTAGTGAAAATACTAAGCACTATATCAGATACTATAGTCTAGAAATATGCATAACTAGTTCCTGGTGGCTGTGTTTATAATCAACAGATAAAATGGCCATTTACTCATACACTTTCACAGACCCGCTGTGCAACTGTTATATAATACTGCTATTATCTTATGTTTCTAGTTTGTGAACAGTAAACGAGCTTAATGTTCTCTAATCATTGTTACAACTCAACCTGCTCTTTGTATCGCACCTCAGATAATTTGATCATAAATTACTGCTTTCGAATAATTTTAGAACTCGTGGTATACCCAGTTATGCCTTGATTCCTAACTAGAAATACAACTCATTAGAGTCATACGAGTATATGAATGGAAGGAGTATGATTGATTTTATTAAATTATAAACATTGGAGTTTATATTTTTTTCATGTATGAGCAAGAAACTAATAGCTGTCGCCTATGAACTTCCACAGCATCATCACATAACGAATTTATGATGCCAGTAACACGAAAAAAGCTTGAGGCGTCACTTGCGAATGGTCGCGGATTCGATTCCTCGCTATCTTGCGAAGATTCTGTAAAAAATCAAGTATAAAATTGAGAATATCTGCCATCCTTCTAGAAGAAGTCTCAGATTTAATAAGGCCAACAATTTCTCAATTTCAGTGTTACAACACAAAATTACTGTTTACATGGTTAGCGTAATTTAGGTATAAGTTATTTAGAATGAATACGACATACGATCCTAATTGTAAATAAGAATTATGTATGATTTTTATGTACAATAACGAACAGTGTAGGTACTTCTGTCTCCCATATTTCTGCCTTCAAACAGTTGCTTACATCGCTAAAAGAAGCTCTAATTCAAGACTTATAGAATTTAAATTTCATAATTTAGAAGTACCAAAGCCATTCAATTTCAATAGCCCTCAAGACAGGTAAAGTATGAGTAAGTATATAGGTATCACATGATGATGTTATGTCTTAGGTCACAACTGGGTTTAAGCTTTTTGACATTCCAATTATATAAGAATTTAATAAAGCAATGTATTTTCATACCAAACCTACTATATTATACTGTTCGTAACGAAGTTGAAGGTAATTTCTGTTCAGATGCGTTTATTTTTCTAATTAAAACAGTCATACGGGATTATAGTCGTGATTTATTACTCGGAGCCAATCTTATTCTTAAGGAATATCTATTTAAGCCTCCATAACTATCAGATTAATGACTATAATTCATTTAATACATAATTATCTCTGATTTATGTTTGAAGAGTAATCGAGTCTATTCCCACTAGTCCGAAATATGTTGTTCGGTTTAGTTCGCCGTAATTGTAGAATTTTTACAGCTTATTCCTTTAAAAATAGATGACAATTTCTTATTTAGTAATTTATGCCATAAATATATATTTACGCTCCTAACCTGAACTTTAACAGGTTATTAATATACAAGTAATATAAACGTTAGAACATCGATATGTCCATATATATCTCATTTCATTATTAACGGGGAATTTATTGAGAGTCTTCTTTCAAATATTTAAATCATACATATTTGTATATCTTACTAATATTATAAAAATGAAAGTTTATAAGTACCTATGTATGCATAGATAGATGTTTGTTACTCTTTCTCGCAAAAAGTACTGAACGGATTTTGATGTAACTTTACAGTAATATAGTTTATACATCAGAATAACACTTAAGCTATAAACGGGCGAATCCCCGGGCACAGGTAGTATTCTATAATGTTATATATAACACAATAATATCTATGAATAAAACACGTTTTCAATTAAATAATATTTACTACAACAATAACAAGAATAACTTAGGCTATATTTTATTTACAATAACATTTAAACTTTGTACCTAATACTGGATAATTCTATATTATCCAAGTTAACAACAGAAGACTATGACTTAGTTGGCCCCATTATCACTATAGGTCAGGCTTTATTTTCTCTTGTGGTAGGGTCCACCACCATGTCCAGCGCCGAGCGCATTCGTATAACTGTCACCACCGAAGCCTCCGGACCCGTGGCCGTGACCTCCGGAGCTACCAAAGCTGTAACTGTCACCTCCGTGACCGCCTCCGAATCCGTGACCTCCAAGGCCGCCGTGTCCACCCCCGATCGAGAGCCCGCTGGAGCCAGAAAAACTGCTATGACCACCACTGTAGCTGTCATGACCCCCACCAAAACCTCCAGATCCATGGCTGTCATGACCTCCAAAACCACCTCCGAAACCGCCAGAACTGTGGCCACCGTGTCCACCTAATCCACCTCCAAATCCTCCGGAGCCATGACTGTCATGACCGCCCAGACTGTAACTGTCATGGCCGCCACTCGATAATCCGCCACTGTAACTGTCATGGCCTCCTGATGAAAATCCGTGGCCGCCTCCGATTCCACCGGAAAAGTCACCGCCACCGCCGCCGTGGTGGTCGTCGTGTCCTCCGAATCCACCTCCTAAGCCGCCGCCGTGACCGCCGATGCTTCCACCGCCACCGTGATGATCATCGTGACCACCTCCGAATCCACCTCCTAGGCTCCCACCGAAGTCATGTCCACCATGATCACCACCTCCTAGTCCACCGCCGAAACTGCCATGGTCGTCTCCCCCACCGTGACCTCCTCCAAAACCACCGCCGAAACCTCCGCCGTGACCCCCAAAGTCAGAACCGCCCCCATGACCTCCGTGACCACCTAAATCATAACCCCCATGTCCACCGCCTAACTCTATTCCCCCATGTCCGCCACCTAACTCCAATCCCCCGTGACCACCTCCGAAATCGTGTCCGCCTGAACCTCCGTGACCTCCAAAGTCATGTCCTCCATGTCCACCACCTCCTCCACTTATTGAAATACTGTGGCCATGGTCACCTCCGAAACCTCCACCGTGACCACCTCCGAAATCGTAGCCGCCTGAACCTCCGTGACCTCCAAAGTCGTGACCTCCGTGTCCACCACCTCCTCCACTTATTGAAATACTGTGGCCATGGTCACCTCCGAAACCTCCGCCATGACCACCTCCGAAATCGTGACCGCCATGACCACCACCGAAGTCGTGACCGCCATGACCGCCACCAAATCCTCCTCCATGACCGCCACCAAATCCTCCTCCGTGACCGCCACCGAATCCTCCGCCATGACCCTTCAGATGATCCACGAATCCACCGTGCAAGTGGTCAGCGAAACTTCCTCCTCCATGACCGTGGCCGCCACCGTGACCTCCGCCATGACCGCCGCCGTGACCGCCGCCGTAGCCTCCTCCACCACCCCCGTGACCGTGATCATCATGATGATGTTCTTCATGCACCACTACTTCTTTTGATGAATGATGTTCTTCGGGTATATGAACTCGAATATGAACACTGTAACAAGTAAAAACATACACTTAACATGTCATCATACGTAATAACATTACATTACACAAACAATAGGAATCTAGAAAAGGAACAATAGCTCGCAATGCCAACAGGTCAAACGTGATGCCAGTGAAAACAAAAGGTAAGGGGTAGATCTATCATTAAAACACAATAGCTTGATTTTCACCTTTTATCACAATAAAGAGACGCGTGGGAAACTCTTATAGAAATCTCAACCGAATTACTGCATCTAATCTTTTTTGCGGTTACGTCTGTTAAGACGCAGCGCAGCGTAAACAAATCAGATATCTCTACGTACATAAATACTTTTTCTCGAGAAATTCATGTGATTATATTAGAATAGGTGGAAGTGTATATTAATTAGTAGGAACATGAATATACTAACTGTTCATGTCCAAAAGTCGCGAAGCAGATGCCAATGCTGGCCAGTAGAAAACAGCACAGCTGAAAGACAATAAAACAAATTGTAATTCCATTTTTAAACCAAACCTACAAAATACAACGTATTATAATTATTTAGATATTTGCACCCTTGCACACGTATACCTTCCGGATTCAAATTACTCATAATAAAAAACTTTTGTATTCATGAATATATTTATTTGCATACGTCTAATATTATATTTGAATTTACGAAATCTATCAGTTGTTTAATTAGGTGTCACTATGATACCCTGAGTCATTTACTATACCAAAATGTACTGAATGTTCTATTCAAAATATGTTTATAGGTGCGTGCGTGGAATCGAAAGTGGTCAGTATAAGGTGTACTAGATAGTCTCGGATATTCTAAATGACGTAAGATGTAATACGGGCACTTGCCTGCCGCCTGTATAACATGGTACAGTTACTTAGTCACTGTTCACATGCATCATACTCATTAGAAATTTGCTTAATTGTTATAGAAACTTTTTTTTGTTCACTACGTCACACGTATTATAAATACCTACTTAAACGTATCTGTTTATTACCCACTAAACGGATCTTCATGAGACATAGGCTGTCTTTTATATGAAAACCTAATCTGAGAGGTATGAAATAGGCCATGAATGGTTGCTCAGATAAAAAAATAATGACGTATATCTACATAATAAATCCAATACTCTTGAAAATCTGTACTTCACAGTGAAATTTTTCGGGAATCGAACCCGCGACTATCTAAAGTTAAGGCAGTATGTTAAACCTACATAGGTGATCAAACACCATATTAAGTATAGCTTCAAACCACAATCTAATATAACGCAGTATATTATGATTTATATAATCAAATACAACTAATATAAATTCAAATTTTTAAATACTGAAAAGTAACTTAAAGTATATGCTTATATAATTATATAAATTAGGCTTGCCATAGTTGTGACAATCCATCTTCACTATAAGGTAATATAAACAATGAATCAATTCGCTATGTTGCTTACAGTGTCTGTTCACTTACGGTAATACAGGAAGGCATGTTGCGTAGGTAGAGAACGTACGAGGGACCTTCCCACACCAACTCTTCTCGTTGATGATATGAATGTAACTTTGTGACTTCAGCATCGCTGCAGCCTTATATATGACAGTGACTGTTGCCATCCCTACTCTGCATGATAAAATTGTATTGATAACGTAAATTTTGGTAATTAAAAATGTGAATATGTAAATAGTGTCAATAAATTTACACTCTGTGCCAGATTTAGGCTGAACTCAAAAATTGTTCTGCCATTATATGTTGGTTTACGTTCAAAACTTTTTGCTTCTATTATTGTCGTTTCTATTTGGTTTTGTTACCGTGATGTAATTTCATTTTAGATGTAAGATAATTCACTACTATAAAGGTTTTTTTGTTTTATTCTGGAGATGAGTTAGAAAACTAAATAAAGCAAAGATAAAAGCGAATGATGATAGATCTTTCTGCTTACCCCATAAGGAACTAATATGAGATAGATAGATTTAAAAAGGATAAGTAGATAGTTAGTAATAATCAATAATTAAGTGTAGATGACATGACGAATATAATACTTATCGTGTCCATTTCGTACGTTTCAAAGAGTATTTTTTGCTCACATATAGGTCATCATATCTACATCTCTTGATTTAACTTGGTCTGATCTCGGTTTTTCCTCCTCTGACTCAGACATAAATATAATATAAACACAAAGTACATTATGGTCATATTCGTACTTACGACCTTTGGGGTCAATAAGTTATGGTAGTAAATTACTAGGGCAAGACTCTCTCTGAGTAAAAACAAATATCTATATGTAGATAATGTAATACGTTGATTTGTTTGTAATGAGAAGCTCGACACGCGACTAAAAATCATTTTTCTATAATTTAAAAGATATTCAACGTAGTATTATTTGAGTAGTCTACTGTAAAGCAATAATAGAACTTATTAACTCTGGTAATATCGTAAGAGAGTTAAGACTACTCGAACAACAATAATAATTATTAATAATCATTCAATTAAACTAGTTTTGATATCAATAACTTTGTACTACAGTGTACCACATCAGTTGAACTACAGTGAATACTATCTACGATATTGTTATAAAGATCTATCACACGTGACGGGAAAATTATAAAAGAAATCAATTAATTTGAACCGGTTTTGTCACTTAGTCTTGTGTTATATTTTTACACGGATTCAAATTTCATTGAATGCGATAACTATTGCCTGAACGTAAACAGTACTATGGACTATTAGAATAATGTAACTTGTTAATTATTATAATAATGTCCTAAATTGTAATAATGATGTGTGATGACTTGTGATGGATAAAGTTAACAGGTCTTTTATGGTGATGGACATGAAATTTTCAATTTTATAACAAAAGATATTTTTATCTACCGTTAAATGATTCTAATATATTAATATGTAAAGCCTATTAGTCTGCACACGATTATGTTATAGATGACTTTGTATGGGGTTCGTTCTTCAAACAAGGCATTTAAATTTTAAATATATAATATAACATATATATACATTACTTAAATGCTACGTAATTATTAAATATTGGAACTGACTAAAAACAGTAATAATAATATAACATTTTTACCAGTCGAGTTTCTTGCCTGTTTTTCACAACTGAAGTAAGTAGCCGAACTGGACGGTAAGGATAGTAATATAAAATATGTAATAAATGTGCAATTGGCCGAAAGGTAAATCAATACTTTTAAGTTGAGTTTATATTTCCAAGTGGTATTATTTATTATATTATATTATACTGTATTGATTTTGTTATTGTTTCTAAAGTTAAATAGGGCAGTATAATAAATATACAAACTTAGTTCTCACCGTGGTTATGCAGAGACAGCCACGGATATAAAATTTATAATACCACTGTTTATTTGTATCTGGAATGTCGTACTATCAAATATTTAAAAAAATCAAAAGTATTCAGTAATTGTTTATATTAACCATCTTTATATCAAACTTATAATATTTCCACTCTCTAATATCCTAATCTGCTTCCTTATTATCCCATTTATTTGAGGTCGGCGTAATATGTTTTTCTCTTCCATTCATCCCTGTTCGCAGTAATCTCGTTATTTACTTCTTTTCTTACCACATCATCTTTCACACAGTCCATCCATCTCTTTTTCGGCCTTCCTCTGCCCTTAAAACCATTCATATATAACGCCTTCCGCCCGCCTATTAGTGTGGATATAAATAGAGAAATGTACAATGAAACGGGCGTTCCTTAAAGTGTGTGAAAAGTCATGTATGCCATCTGAGTACGGACCGCATGGAAAATTTGACGGTTGGTATCATCTGTTCTACCTCTGCACGCGTTAATTGGTAAAATAAAACAGTGCTTCTTCGACTTCTTATTTCATTTATTTGTTGATAATGACATGGTGCACATGCATGCACTAATAATATAAAACTGGTTGGTGGTTGATAACATATGTCTAGTAATGTGTGATAAAGAAATGGTGCTCCCACCTACGCTAATGGTTTACGCTATGGAGCACCAGTGGAGGATGATAAGATGAGCATGAGGTCAGGTCAGTCAGCCTATCGTGGCAAATTCATCAGTAATTTATCACGATGGTTTCCAGGGGTAACCTTGTGGAGGTTAACCTGACATGGTACATTGCGAGCAATGGGATCATTTGTCCACATTATTAACAATGCCTTCTCTCTATATGTGTAGTCCGTTTATAGTACTTATAGAAAATACTTAAATCAATACTAATAATCATAATCATGAATAAAATTCAAATGTTTGCACCAAGCGAGGAATCAAACCTACGAAAATCGGAAGTAAGGCGATATGCTAAACAGCTAGACCACCGAATTAAGTTTGCATTGTCTACTTAGAGATATACATTAGAGAGCGCATCATGGTTTTGCGGTTTATCACCGCAATTTAGACATCTTAAAGGTCGTGAGATACAATTTCGCATATTTGTTTTATCGGTGTATGTTTACCACGGAGTAAGTACCATGGTGCACCAAGGTATCATTTGGTAAAATAGGGTCACTTCAAGGGAGGCTTACGACTGCAGAGCACCATCCCAGCCTATGGTCAACCTCTGTATACTCTCCTGTCCTTTGTACCCACATTCTGTACAAAAGAAGGCCTAAATATGCGACAGACTGCGCGAAAGTTGTTGCAGATTTCTGGGGAATTTCTTGCAAATTTCTTGCCATTGAATCGAAAAAAGGAGAATGGAGTAAGTTAAAATTATCCATTGATACACTGATCTCAGTTCGTATTTATAACTAAGTAAGTCATAAATACGAACTGAGGTTGTGAAAGTTGTCGCAGATTTCTGGTGAAAATACAATACATTTATTTGTTATGTATTGTTCAATGTATTATTCAATCGAAAGAAGAATTATGGAATAAGTCAAATCCATTGATACAATGATGTCAGTTGATATTTACGGCTTACTACGTTATAAAAACACGTATAAAGAGTAAGTTGATCAACTGTATGGGGCTCCCCCTACCACTATACTATACAAATATACTTAGCAAATGTGGTCAAATCAATTGTTTTTTATGTGTAATAATGGAATGGCGCACCTTCCTGCGCAAGCGGTTTACGCTGGATGAGAATGAATGTGATGAGGCAAGAGGTCCGTTGAGTTAAAAGTGACAAATTTATGATAATAATAATATTAATATAACATTTTATTGTGTACATGAATATTTACAAAAAAAGAACTTTATATAAATATATGCTAAACAAAAGAGGATTATCGCTTAATTCTCTTCCAGACAACCGAAAATCGAAATCAAAATAAATCGAAATTTTGCGTAATAAAAGGCGGGCTATAAAATAGAAATAGAGAATATAATACGATAAGAAAAATATGATTAATATGTAAATAACTGAATAAATAAAGTACGAGTACGATACCTTTATTATCCATAAAAAAACTTACAATTCTTCATGTAAAATATGTTGTCACGTGATATGTTTATTTGAATTTTCAAAATTGCTTAGCCGATTTCGAGTGTATTTGTTGGAGAAAGTTGTTCATATTCGAGAACACTATCAATGCGTTTCAGCTCGGTATGTTTATCACGAGTAACCTGTATACAATGCAGGAAGTACAACCATGCAGAAAGTGTGCTATGCGTTTATTCGTACGTCTGTCGGCATACGTAATAATTATTATGAGATGAAACGAAAAAATCATGTTCACTTATTACGCAAACAACACTAACCATTGACATTATCCTATTATACCAACAACTTCCAAATTGAATAACTATTCATTTACCTACAGCGCATTACTGTTACATTCGCTTTTTTATTTTATACTGATATATCATAATGCAAAATTTTAGACATTACATTTGTCCACGTTGCTTGTCGGCGATAGAATTCTAAACTATTAAACCGATTTTAATGAAATTTTATAAGTATGCTTGCTAGGTTTGAGAATATATTGTTATCTATTTTTTATGCCCCTAAGGATTAAGGGTTTTGACATAGTTTGTTTCAGTCTAGTCATAGTCATTAAAAAATACATATAACCGTAATTTTTCACCCTTCTGCCATCAATCCCTATTTTTTATTTGATGTAAAGGGAGGGACGCCCTAAGAAAAGATGAATGGATTGTGTGAAAGATGATGTGAATAAAAGAAGAGTATGTTCAGATATGACGACCGATAGAGAGCAGTGGAAGAGAATGACATACTGCGCCGACCCCAAATAATGGGATAAAGGCAAGGCAATGATGATGATTTATTTATGTGGCAAAATAACCCTTGCATTGAAAGTACAATGTTGCCCACCAATGTAACATGTCAGATTGACCTTCGTCAGAGACCATCGTGTGTTTTTGTTTCTATTTGTTAAATGTCACGATGTTACTCATTTTATCATCCTCCACTCCCCGTCAGCATAAGCCGTAAGCGCAGGCGAGTGCACTCACACATTATCCAATAGAAAACCCAAGGAATAAATCTTTTATACATTTTTATAGAATATTAACAGTTCTATCCACGTCGACCCAACCTTGGTACACTTATATTGCATTCCGCAGCATAATATTAGGGTAATATGTATGTGTATAAACTATTGTTATTTTAATACATTTTAATATTTTATCTATTGCCTAAACCTCTGCAAATACATATTTGCAAAGAAATGTATACATGTTGTACATGAATTACAGAAAAATTATATCTACATACATAGTCAAATTATTTTACATTTAAAATAATTTTATATCTTGACATATTTTAATATACGTAAATCAATTCCTTGATAAAATATTGTATCAAGTAATTGTTTAATATTTTTTAACTTAATAGCATTTTAAAAATTGTAATTTGCGTAATTACAATTTTGGCGGGACTTGGACCTACAAATATTATATAACCTTTGTTATGTACCGTGTACACATTCAAATAAATAAATCATTTCATTTCATTATAGAGTTAAATATTTACAGTCTTGTTCATATTATTTAGTATTATTCATCTTATTCATATTATTATTAAAGCTTATAAAAGCTTTACAGATCTCTTTAGTTAAAACGTTCATCAGCGCTACTGAGCTTTTAGACAGCTTTAAAGTAGCGCGTTATTCATTATCTCATTTTCTCTCTCTCTAACCAATATTGGTTTCAAATACGATTTTTGCAATTATGTTGCAATCATGACTTGGGCTATTTTACTATGGACGCAGCTCACGCAAGTGTGGCCACCTTACGTAGTTGCTTCACCACTAAATCTGGTGGATTTGACTCCTCTTATGTGGACAAAATTTATGTAGATAAACGTATTTTTATAGCTTTCCCCTGTTCGATATAATTAGACTACTAATTCGCCTTTCTATCGTACTGAATAAGATATCTTCTGATTATAAAACGGTAGCTCTATTTTAAATTAAAGCGCGAAATATATAGGTGAAATCTCACCATCATCGCTGTGATGATGGTGAGCTCATCTGTATACTATTACGTTTAATATTATTTTAGAGGGATCCACATATTTTGCTAAAACTCATATATCACATATAGATAGAATAGGAAAGCAACGGATAAAATACTTGTAATGTAATACATACAAAAAGATATACATACAAACAATAACAGTGAATACAAGAACAATAAAATATGTCACAATTCGCAAATTGAAAATAAAAGAAATGAAAATAATAAAAGTGATATATATATATAAGTATACCTTACAACTATATGCACAGTAAGTAAAGAAAATTAGTTATTTTTTTTAAATAATCATCATTTAATCAATCCGAATAATCATGAATTTATTTTAAAATATCTAAAGTCTAAATTTTATTTCTTGATTTAATGCGGACAAACATAACCATCTACATTAAAAAAAGCAATTATACATATAGGTCATATAGTTAGTGAGTTTTAGCGAGACTACCGAAGAATATGTTATATTATATACATGTATTATGTGATACGATACTACTAACAAATATAACACAATATTATAGCGAAGGGAGTCCCCATGTTGCTGGCAAAAATGTTGTTCGTTGCGTAACTTCGCTGAGGAATGAGTCAGAACACTCCGGTGCTGCGGCCAATTACACTGAGATTCTTTGTAAAATCTCAAATTCACATAGCATGTGAGCCTGCAAAGTTAAACTCATTGCTGTTACATTGAATTTAGCTGTTACATTTCTCTTCCGCATATCAACAAAAATCTTGGAAGTAAAAAAGATGAATCCTATATATTTTTGTGAGTGTGGATGGATGGATGGATGTTTGTTAGGTACTGTATCATGCAAAAACTTCTGAATGGATTTTAATGAAACTTTATAATAATATAGCTTATACATCAGAATGAAGCATGGGTTATAAATTTCACGCAGGTGAATCCGCGAACAAATAGTAAACAATACATTTCCAATGCTGTGTACAGTATTAAAATGTAAGTCTAAACCAAGTATTGTATGATACTAGAACGGCTAACAATGTGACGGTCCACTTAGAAATGAAATGGCAACTGCTACTGTATAATATACATGAACACAGAGGATGTTAGGGATGGGATTCTTAGAATGTAGACTAATTAACCGATTGCTATCAATGTACCACATCCGGTTGGCCTACACGCGGTTCCCTTGAAAACCATCATAACAAATTCCTGTTCAATTTGTCATAATGCGCTAACTGATCTGACCTCACGTTCATCTTATCATCCTCCACTAGTGCCCCGTCAGCGTAATCCGATATCACAGCCGGAGAATTCCATAATGATGCGAAGAAAAATATATCGAACCTGATGTTATAAAACCGCCCACACAAAGTCAGCAAATGCTGAGCTTTCGTATATTGTTGCACAACCTATACACAATACATAATTGTGTCGTCAGGTATTATCAATAAAAATTGATAATTATGTAAATATTATTCAATAGTTCAACATAATATTCAAAGTTATTACTAGTTTAAGTAACTGTTATTTTTTAAATAAATATTGACACAATTATCTTCTTATATTGAACTAGCGACCTGTCCCGACTTGTACGGATATATTACAAAACTTTGAATTTCTCAGATTGTGTTATTACACACATGTATTATGGATATAAACCTTCCTCGTGAATCACTTTACTATTGCCAACGAGTTAATTTAATATCTCATATACATAATCTCAATATATTACTAAGTATTTTACTAAATATATATGTATGTAGTTATTTAATAACTTAATTGTACAACCACAGATAATATAATATTACATATAGTACAACTAAGAAACTAAAATTAAAAATCTTAAAAAATATAATATAAATTATTTAAAGGATTACCTTTAGGCAAAGATCCGAAGAAACGGGCAGCGTTCCCTCTTTGAATGGCTAGACTAATTATTTGTCCAAGGTAGCTGCTAGCTCTTCGGTCTTCTGTGATGTCGACTAACCTTTTTGTTATTTCCTTGAAAAGTCTTATAGAGCTAGGACCCCACAGACCAAAGATCTCGACAACGAATGGGACAAAATCATATTCGGAGCCTAGACCCCTGTATTTACATGCTTTGAATTTTTCAGCCGCTTCACAAGCCGCACCAGCTCTGTTGTTGGTTACATGTGATGATGTAATCCAGGCCGATTTCGGCCACGGTGACTGTCTTCAATTCCGATTTTGCCGTTGATGTGCTCGCATGTGACTTATGTAGCCTATATTGTGTGTAAAAATCCTCGCACATTGCGGGCATGAGATCATATAATTATAGCTGATAGCCGCAGGTGGTTGGGCTTTCAGCTCGTCACGTCTGGCAATCAGCTATTCGGAAGCAGTCAGTTGCGCAGGAGATATTTAGGTGCACAAGCGTACGCGCAAACACATGTGCATACCCTCGTCTTCACCCATCTTGATCCAGTGGAGCGGAGAGATCGATACGACTGGTTCAATGTAGATGGGATGGGGCCATGTTTGTAATTTATTTGTAGTATGGGTTTTGTTACAATTTCTGACTATATTTGATAGTTAGAAGTTGTGTAGACCTAGAACAGGTCGTGTTGTTTTGGGTTAAAGGTATACTCTGTACAAACTATTTTATATCTGCATAGCTAATCGTATTGTAGCCACACCTTTGTGGTTGTGATGAACAATTATATATTGTATTAAATTCAATTCAAAAATTTTATTGCATTTCACATGGCAATTCAGATGCGGTAATCAGGCCATTGTTAACTGTCAAAGTTGTGGTTAACGGTTATATTTGGCTGTTTACTCGTAGGTACTACAAAAAAAAAATATAAACAATATTACATTTTATATATCTAAGATATCGTACGGGTAATTCAATATATTTACAAATAACTTCATCATCATCATCAGCCCACTGCAGTCCACTGGTGTATATAAGCCTTATAAACCTAAACCTTCCACAGAGGCTCAGTTAATGGTGAAAACCGCATTAAAAGAAGTTTTTGAGACAGCCGTGTAAGACACGGAATGTAAATACTACACCAATACTACTACTGCTAATTTCTGATCAACGTGAATTAAAATTGGCAATACCTCTGACTACCCCATGCGCAATAACAGTCACTTTGGAATGTTTGTTTTATGTCTATTTTATTTTACATTTTATAGTATAAATATCAAAGTAAGTTTTTAAAAATAATTTATACTTTATTATTTTTATTTATTAGGTATTTGACATATACCTATCGTCTCTCTATTCATTCAATTACATATATGTAAGCAAACTTTGTTTTGCCATATAAATTTAAATCGATATTTAAAAACAGGGGTTGATGGTAGAAGAGTGAGATTAGGGTTGCATGTATTTTTTAATGCCATGTTATAAATTTATATGTTGTTCAAAAATAAAAAATAAAAGTTAGGAATACGTGGTGTGAAAAATAGATAGTAGCTAATTCTAAGACATACTGAATATGCATATAAAATTTCATAAAAATCACTCTAATATGGTAACTAACATTGTGACACGAGAATTTTGTGAACAAGATCTTAATTAGCTAGTAATTGAATGTACCGTAATCTTCAATATTCTCGAAGACCACACGTGATCAATTGATATGGTTATCATACCTGGACGATCAAGGGCAATGTGTGGTCCATTGGATCATATATATATGTATTTGTTCTAGGTAAGCACGGATAGAACTAAATGTGATAGAGTGTCGTGGTTTAATTTGAAACTTCGTAAATTAGATATCAATATATAGAGGTCAATATCAAGTTTCTGTCGATTTGGAAGGTATGTGCAGTAATCAGCTTGTTTCTCATTCCATTCGTTAATTTCATCAGTATTTTGTTCAATGAACAATCTCACTGAGCTTACTACCATTTTGTACTACTGCGCATCACACATACTGACACAAACTATAATGTATGTATTGTCTACATTTATACAAGTGTACGATTTGAAAGAATTAAAAAAAAATCTTATCTGTCTATCTAAATAGCGCATGGTCGATATCATAACAAAAATTTCTCCGGAAGTACATAGAATTAAAACCAATTCACTTATCTTTCTTTTTATTGACTCAAACATAATTATAATTCCATCTAGTTAAAGCAGGGTCAGGTGATTACATCATAATGTAATATGAACTGTTATTCAATCTAATGTTTACATTATCTATGGTCAAATTGGTCTTCTATACATATAAATAAAATTGGAGTGTCTGTTTGTAATATTAAAATAACCGTTTTTTACTATATGCATATGAATATAAATACGATACATACACCAATTTTTTGTTACATTTTTGTTTGTTTGTTCCGGTTAATCTCTGAAATGGCTGGACCGATATTGATGAGATTTTTATTAGAAGGTAGCTGATATAATAAGGAGAAACTTAGGCTACTTTTATATTAGAAAGATTATTTTATTTTAGAAGAATAAAGTTAAATTCCACGCGGACGAAGTCGCGAGCACAGTTAGTATTATAATATAAACATCTGTGGCCAAGTATTATGGAATGTCCACTCCACTTCTGTAGTCATCTTTTTGTAATTCTTCACTTACATATTTGAGGTAACCGCTACGAATATATTATGATTGTCCACCATTAATCATAATTAGGTATCTACCTGCGGTAATACATTTATATTAGACGTTTAATACGCTTATGTTTAACTAACTGTAACTCGCGTCGCTGTCTGCGTGAAATACATCATAGTTTTTTGACAATACTTTATTTAGATGAATATAATAAAGCATTTCGAAGTATATCTATTACAAATAAGTATAGTTGTAAATACAATAGTATTTGTATTTACCTACAACTATATGGTAACTATTATCTGATTTTAAAATAAAAAGGAAATGTTCCGATTGTCTATTGTTTTTTTTTTTGACTTGAACTGAAGTAACTATACGAACTGGATGATAGAGTTAGTACTAAATAGTGCGCAATATAGGTATGTAATATTATATTATCGGTGGCAATATTCAGCCCCGCTTGCGTTCTACAGTACTAACTGTATTACTGTACTGTGTTGGACTGTCGTGATGCATTTGCAAGTAGGTCCATATTAAGGTGTTTCGGCCCCTAAGGGTTTTTGAGTTGAGGTCCAAGTCACTACTCGTGTCTGATGGTGGTCTTGTTACTAAGATGCGTTTTACTAGAAAAAGTTGATGTTTATAAGTGATAGACGTCCAAAATTATTTTGTTATATGATATATGAGGTTCAGTTTATATATGAGGGAAAAACCAAGGGAATGTGGCCATACATCAATCATTTTCTTATTGTTATTTTTCTTATAAGTTTAATTTATATGTTCTAAAGGGGTAAAACATATAGTTGTACAGGATAAAAAATGTTCTTGAATAGGTTTCTTGAATCTTAATAATGCCTAAAGACTCACTAATTAAAATATTGTTAAATTTGACTTTGATACGCTTATATTTTGATAATTTAATCAATAATTTGCCCATGAACTTTAGAGAGAGTCTTTTACAATTCACAGGATATTTGATGTAATATGTACAAGAAAATAGAAACAGTGAGGTATAGGTCAAGTAATGAGACCTCTAAACCAAAAAGTCTATGGTGATCTTATGGTGAATTTCCAAAGAAATCGGGAGTTATCATAACAGCACCACGAGATCTTCGGCACGGCTCGTCCTACTCTTACCGAAGGTGTGTGGCCATCCATTCCCTTACTAGCGGATGTCAACAGACACTTTCGATAGGTCATAAACTCATAACAGCACAGCAATAACTTTACATTCAACCATTTTGAAGAGCATTACATAAACGGTGCTATTCGATCACTTGCTTCCTGCTGACAACGTGTTAAAGAATTCTAAAATAGTTGTAAAGTCATTACGGCGAGATTTACAAAAGGCGGTAAAGCGGTCAAACTATAAATCTTCTCACACGCTACAGGTCATATTTTTTTACTTTTTTTAATGCTGTATTAAATTAGCATTAGCTTTGAGTTCAAAGTAAATTAAATCCTTGTAAATAACCAGTTACGTCACTGTGTATCTGCAACGAGGAACAAGAAATTATATTTCGATAATTTCTTCCTTATTACACTGAGAATTCTACAGTCAATTAAGAAGTACATCTCTTTGTTTTTAACACAAACAATTGTTTTATTTTGTAGGTAGTGTATTAAAATAAATTATGCTTAGTATGAATTATACATGATGCACCTTAAGGATTCACTAGCTCTATCTCACGGCGCTATTAGATATTCGATGATAATTTGTTTTTTATATAAAGTTGAATCATCATTTCAGCCTGGAAGACGTCCACTGCTGAACAAAGGTCTTCCCCAAAAATCTCCACGACCGGTCGGTCCTCCACTGCTCGCGTATTGTATGTTGTTGATGTTGAATACATTTACTTCATTATTAACATTATTTCATTTTAAATAATAATAATAACCCTGGACAATTCAATGTCATTTAGTCCCGAGATATGAACATATTCATGAATTTGGCATTCATGAAAATGAATTGAACCTATGACCATTGGAAGTAAAGCGGTGTACTAATCCGCTTGACCACCGCCGCTATATAATAGTTTTGTTTATCTACGTTTATTAATACGCAATAATTAATTATTCAATCACTTAATTTCATTCATTTATTCATATAATCGACGACCGGTTCTTGTGATCTCCATTGTTGTTTACAGTTCTTTCTGAACTAATGGCACACAAAAAGAACAGCTGTGCGCATCCATTAGAGCGGTAGAGAAAATCTAATAGAAATGTCAATGATTAATAATCTTAATGATATCATTACAATTGAGTAGCAATAACTCGTCGTATATACTCGTATGTGCTATAAACTAGCTGACCCTACAAACAATGTTTGCCATATGAGGTTATTATCATTATATTATGAACTGTGATTTAAAGTATCGCTATGGCTATTTAGAAACTTAGAGTAGAGTAACTATGTTACTTACTTACTAAACTTAGCTCGCCTATACTTATACAAAAATTTTAATACAGATACAATAAGAGCAGAATTATGCAATTCATCACACCTGTTAGTTAAAAAACAACATGTTATTTAGTTTCTTATTATATATATTATGTTATTACATTCTAGCTGTGAGTAGTATCTCGACAAAATAAACATAATATTAGACTATAACCCAAAACAAATTCATCGTACTACTAAAAAAATGATTTTTTAATACGACCTTCCATATCCGTTTTTAATCTCTTTCTGTCTGAGAAAGAACATTTGGATTTCCAAATATCCTTTCTCAGGGTCTAAACTATCTGTGTACCAAGTTTTAGATAAATAGTAACAGATGGGTAACATCGCGGTAGTAGAGTTGGTCGTGATGGTACCAACTTATATTACAGTTGTCACACATCCTATACCAGTTTTGTATGGTATAACTGATAAGTTTTTAAGTAC